TTAGAACCCCCCTCCCCCAGGGGTATTCAAACTTGACAGATTTAAGATTTGCGGACTTCAACTCCCAGAATTCCTCCTCTCGCTCTTCCTCTTGATGATGTGCAAACGGGCGGGGGGAGGGAGCTGTAACCGGTTCTAAACGGCACTGTAGATTTGTGGAACCTCTTCTGTAGAAGAGGTTAGAACTGGCAGGAACCCACCCCTGATATGGATGACCTGCAAAAGACTACGCCATTCCCAAACGAGGTTGTTTGGTGCCTGACAAAACTCAACCGTAGCTTTGACAAAGTTGTGCAAGGTAGAAGAAGCACCCGTCTCTAGGTTAGGAGCAAGGATTAATACGACAAGGAAGCCCTGCAAGAAATATTGCAACTGCCAATAACAACACTTTTACATCCTTGTCTGACTTTGCCAGTAGCCTTAGCAGTAGATTACTGTCACAAATTCATTGGGGAGGGTGTAACTTCTCCTCAGGTTAAAAGCAGGTTCCAATAATAGAAGCACTGATTTGACAGGAACAGTTGAGGAACAAAGTTTAAGGAAAATCAGCCAAAAGCTTTCGAGACACGAGTACAGATGATTTTTTCGATCACCTTTTTTTAACTTTGTGGCAACAGTCAAGCCTCCACTTGGGGTGCGCAGATGGGTCTCTGAAACATATGACACAATCTTTGTTAGAAGATTGCTACGACAATTCTTTCTTTTCAACTGAAAAGCATGGTGGATGAATCACCACCTTGTACCATTCTGCTAAGTCAGGGGCCAGCAACCTGTGGCTCTGGAGCCGCATGTGGCTCTTTCATCCCTCTGCTGCGGCTCCCTGTCACTGGTTGGCTCCACAATTGATAGGGTTTTCAGTTAGGACAGGGAGACGAAAAAGGATGTCACACTAGGAGGAGACTCTATGGTGGGGGAACTGACTTCTGGTCAGCAGAAGAAAAAGGATGCCGGGCTACGAGGAGACTCTATGATGGGGAAACCGTACTTCCAATCAGCTCCAGAATTGAACAGCAGGAACTTTGTGGTTCTTTGAGTGTTTAAGGTTGCCATTCCCTGTGCTAAGAGAATTCCATTTCCGTTGGGAAAAGGGCATAGTCCAAGAAATAAATAAAAATTGGTCCTATTTTTCAAGCAGCTCTTCCACTCTATGGAAGCAAATTAAAATATTCAGGACACTTTGCATGGGGTATGATAGAAGCAGATGACACTGAGTTTATGAATGAAGAAGCAGTAGCCAACATCTGGTTGAAAATACTCACTTCCTGATGTGTTCAACTGGAATCGCTCCTCGTACATTTTTATTACCTTTTTTTTTTAAATTAAATCGATTTATAGGCCACCCGATCCCTTGTCTTAGAGGAGGGAAAAAAAGATTGGAGGTGAATTTTCCAATTCAAATTCTTAGCCATTCAATTATTTAGTGGGAGTTTCTCAACTTTAAAAGCCAACATAGAAAGGAATGTCCATGATGCCATCCAGTGTGCTGTATTTTAAGTCCTTACTCTTTATGCTTAGCATTTTGAAATAGCTAAACCTATTCAGTTTTTCTACTGCATGGACTATTTGCAGAGAGCAAATTTCAGATGAAGGAGTCTTCAGAAAACCCTTTAAAATGTTAACAGATTAACAGATTTGGAAGGTACCTTATGTAGATCATCTAGTCCAACCCCCCCTCCCACTCAAGCAAGAGGCCCTCCACCATTTCTGACCAGATTAAGATTAAGATTTAGTTTATTTGTATGCTGCCCTTCTCCGGGAGGGACTCAGGGCGG